TTTTTAGGGTTTTTAAGAGTTGTTCAAACGACTTCCTAAGATATTTCAAAATTTTTATGCTGATAAGTAAGAAAACTAAACATATTCTCACCTTAAGATCGCGAATTTTAAGAGTTTTTCGATGCAAATATCAACAAAAATTTTCAAAAAGTTTTTAATATCAGGCGGGCTTCTAATACACCTTTCACGTAGTCTCTTCTGGCGGGGGCTTCTAATAAGGGACGGACTTCTATTACGGGAGGGGGTTTAATGATAAACGACCAGTTCGGATTTGTTTGAGCGTTTTCATATTTTTGTTTTTGAAAAAACTAATCATAAAAAACTTCTTTTTTTGAAAATTAAGCGTTTTTTATCGATATCAAATACAATTTCTGTGAGGTAGTAGCATGTATCAGACTATTCTATCAATCAAGTGAAAATTCATCGTAGTATATTTGATACATTTAAATCAGCTCACATTAATATTAAATCATGTTATTGAAAGATAGTCGAATAATTATTTAACATTGTAATTTATCATAGATTTAATTATAGATCTTACGATTTATTTTAGATATTTCGCACAGTCATAAGACATAACAAAGTAAAGATAACGTGAAAAGTAGGTTAAGCATATAGCTAATTAATGATTTTCACTCCTGACAAATATTTAATTAGTATGCAAAAATAGCATAGAGCTTATCACACTATCAAGTTTTCAGAAGTGTCCTGCAACCGGGTCAGGTACTCGGAGCTAGCTTGGCAATAGATGAGATCTTGATGCTTCAAAGTATTTCCACATTTTCAAATAACTATTTATATAAAAAGCATAAGAATGAAAAATCAGAGCAATTTATTGTACTTGACAACAGTCAGAGAAGTGGGAAGCGACATTGTTTTACTAAACGAAATTGGTTTTTAATGAGAATTCACCTGCAGATGATAGTGAACTAAGTGACAAAGTAACTGAATAAACAGGAAGGAAAATGAATTACCAAAGACATGAATGTTTAAATCATTAACGTGTATGTATCTATAATTACGCAGTTGGACACTAACACTGCGTGCCATTTCATCATCATCAGCAACAAGCATACGTATATTTAGCAAAAATTCATCGAGTTTTAGAAGCAGAAAGCCATCAAGTGGATCCTAAGCTACTTTCTAATTTTGTGGAATTTGAGATGATCTCTTTTTTGTAATATCCTATGGAAGAAACTGAATGGTAGTATACTTTTGCAAATAAAAATAGAAAATTTGAAAATCTTTTTGTGACTGTGAAAGTATTTGCCAGATATCAATTAACTTCGATTCGAATCCGGGTGTTAGATGGGCAGATCAGCTTTCGCAAAATCGTACCCGTTCAGCACACTAGTTTTCAGTTCACTGATAAGTACTTAGGGAGACCACTTATGGCAATACATAATCATACAGTTCCTTACAGCCAGTTCCACTGAGTTCCTACAATTTTGTCGCCTACAAAAAAATGTCGATCATAAATTTGTCGATAAAATTTGTCGACAAATTTACGTTCAACATTTTTTGTAGTCGACAAAATTGTAGGCACTCGTTGTATGTGGGTATCCAAGGTAATTATTTTAAACATTTGATAGAATAAAACTTTGTTGAACTTGTTTCTGTATTTTCTTTTTTGTTCTACCACCATTACTTTTTTTTCTACTCTAATATGTATGAACGGTTAGACGTTAGAAGAGACAAGAAAAAAAATATGAAAGAAAAGAGTAGAAAAGAAAATAACAAAGGAAGAAAAACAAAATGAGAATGTACATGAATAATAATGTGATGGTCTAGTTTTACACAAAAACAGTTCTTATCGAAATTTTATTAACATGATATTAGTTGAAGAGCGATCAGATAGTACAGACAATCTGAGCATTGATTTCTCTAACATTGCATAAAAACAGAAAGTTTCTTCAATCTTTCCACACGAAAATAAAATAATGACGCTACTAGTTTTGGATTGACCTAAATAGCATGATACGAAAGTAATACTATACAGGGATAATGACACTTCTTGAGAACAGAAAAGTCCGCTCTATAGTGATGACTAAAATGACCTTCTAAAAAGACTGTAGTTTCAAAAACACATACATTTTCTCGATGTTTTCGTGCTAATTCTTGTGTGCTTACAACTAAAATAATAGTGTAATGTATTGACGTTGTTTTATAGATTTGATTAATGCATTATGTTGCCTATGTATGTATATTTTGAAGTACGTTTGTCTTTTGTACGATTGTTTGTATGCATGACTTAACTGAGCATGATATTTCAGTAAGATATTTTTTTTTGCATCATAAAAATAATACTATCATTTTGCTTGTTCTGTTCTGAATCATTCGAAGAGCTTTATTAATGACGATAATGAGTCAATCGATTGTTCGAGTAAATGCTCGCGATGTCACGCATTCACTTTTTATTTTCAATTCGTTGCACAGAACACAAAAAATAGTCCAGTTTCATTTGCAATACGCTATTGCTGAATAGTTTGATCATGGTCGAACCTCGCTTCACGCTTTATTTTAAACATGATCAGGACCTTTTCGTGAAAAATGTTCTTAGAAACAATGGAAGAGAAAGTTTTTGTTAGATCATGGAAAGGTACCTTGTCAATGAATAACGCGTTCTGGAATTTGCCGAATACATTCACAATCGACAACAATACGCTTTCTATCTGACAAAACGCTTTGTTTGCGATGCCTCGCTATTATGGAATGTTTTATTCTCTGTTCAAAATCATTCTGAACCGTTGCATTAACTGTTGGGATGATTTTCTTTGCATTCTTCTTTGGAAAGATAAATAACGGATTCGTTCAAAATACGAGATGGCTTTTTTTATATTTTCTAGAGAATTTCTTAAGAACGGATTCTTCGAATCGATGAATCCATTTTAGACGATCCAGCAACACTCTTAGAAAGACAATAACCTGTTTTCTGTAGTCTTCCATCTCGCTGAATGCTTTTTCCTGGATTCAAAAATTGATTTTTGCAAAAATAGAATGCATTGTTGTTCGTGTCATAAGTTTAATAAAAGTATTCGACTACATCGAGAAGCAATATCAATTAGCTCACATTACATTTTACGGCTTTCTAAAATGCATGAATTTTTTCTTCATTGTTTCTTGATTAAAAAAATACCTTCGTGATCTGTGATTGTCTTTTATCAGCATCTATTTACAAACCTGAGAATTTATCTGTCAATATCGAGAAGTTCCTATTTTTCGTACGCTGACATAAATAACAAAAGTAAAGCATAGGTGATGCTAGCATATTGAGATCAATCACATCACTATAACAGACGCTTAATCATTGACAACATATAGAGAATAAGATAAAAGAATCGAACACACAAAAATACTGAGTTCTATGATCATAAGTCATATAATCAATAAAATTAAAGATAACTGTCATAACCATGAATTTTTATCTATCTTAACAGTTCTCTATTGTTATTTTGAAAAACTAAGATCTTTCTTTTCGCTTCTAAAGATAAATAGTATTTTTATTTCATAAAAAACTGAATTAACATCTCAATCATAATCATCTTTCTGCTTAATGCAAATTGAAACAAGTAATGAAAAATAAAAGGTTAGATGACAAATAATATTATTCATAAATTTTTTCTTGCCTACTGTTTCGTTCAATTTATATTGTATTTTTATTTTTAATTATAATTGACAAATTAATCTAATAGATAATATGTTAGTTTTTCAAATAGAGAATTCTAAGTCCGAATATCTGAGAACACAGAGAATAAATAAATAAATTCACAAATACGAATGCGATGTCAATCATATCGTCTGCTTTTATGAATAATCACCAGTACCCGATGGCTTTAATCAAAACCGCCAGTTAATCACAATTAACTGAGAGTTTTGTTCAGTTACCATAAAAAAGGTTTATTAGACTTCTTCTTTCGATACACCCATTGCTTTTGTAGGGGTCTAGGACGGTTAGTCGCACAGACATTAGCTCATTTAGATACTTGTTCGCTGTCATGTGGAGAATAATCATCATCATAAACGAATTGATGATTTTGATGTAATGATAAGCTGCAGTAAACGATATATGTGTATAAGCCGTATAGGCCAGAGTTGAAACCGGTGAAAAAATATCAGTCCGGTCCGGCCCAGGCGGTTTTTACCGGTCTAGAAATAGCTTCTAGACCGGTAAAAATCGGCGAACGTAATAAGTTTTTTCTGAACTCTAATTTGTATGCAGAAGCAAACTATAGATTTATACGTTTGAATTTTCAAGCATTCTAATATTAGAGCCATAGATGTTAAAAAGATGACCAAAACTTTCAACAATGACTTTATTTTACACGAAATAATATTACTTCCTTCCAGAGTCAATATTTAATTTGCTTTTGTTTTATTATACAGGTGAAAGTTTACATAAAACTATGTGTTTTAAGCGAAAGTGACTAGTTAAGCTAAACGTAAGATAAAAAAAAACATTTGATCACATATTGAACTCGCAAACAATATGAAACATATATACAAAATAAATATTTTTATTTTGATGTAGGTCATGAATTGTTTAAATAAGCTTCTTTTAAAACAACAAGTGACTCTACGCATTCAGAATTCAATTGAGATCTTTGTTCTGTTACAATATGTCCAGCCGTTGAAAAGTGTCGTTCAGATTCAGCTGATGAGGCTTGTATAACAAAACTAGATTTTGCTATTTTGGATAAGATTGGTAAAGTTGATTGTTGATCACGCCAAAAATTAATGGATTATAATCTTCAGGCAATTCATAAGATGTATTTTCATAGATTTGAATTTGTCGTTCGACATCATTGTTAAATGAATTAGCTGAAGCCGCAGTTAGTGACATTGTACCTCGGACACCACGCATCGTTGCAAAAGGATCCTCCTTCGTTTTTTTGTTGGTGGTGAAATTATTTTATCTGATGATGCATTTGTTGATCAAATGGTATCTTGATAATCATTAGACAAAATATAAATATCATTTTTGATTGATTTTTTCTGTTCAGCTAAAACAGATTCATCTTTAATAAACAAAAATCTTTGAATGTCTGATCGAGATAAGTTGCAATCCAATGCAATTGTGTTGTTGATGTCAAATATTTTTCGTCAAGTTCTTTTGCAATTTCAGCTTTTAATAAATTTATAATTGAATGTTTTCGTTTGTTGTCTATGAAACATAACTCAATCATACGATAGTAGCTTGGAATAACATTTTGCAATGTTGGCCGATTTGAAAACTCTAAGTTATCGAAAATTAAGCTAAAATTTTCCATAAACTTACTTATTTCATATAGTAATTGTGGATCGATTTGTAAAAGACGATGCTGTTCATCACGCTCACGTAATAAAACCATTAATGATTCATATGATTGATGTAAGCTATCGAGAATAAGAAAATACGAGCGCCATGGACGCGTACCACTTGTACGTTTCAATGTTTTCGGTAACTTGAATTGAATTCCACCACATTGTTGACAATAAGTTCGAAGATTGCTAACCGATGAACAGAAATTCTTAAATTCAACATTCATGTTTTTGCCATTTTCCCATGTTGTTTCCAAAACAGTATTTGTTCGATGTGCTAAACAAGGATATCTTGTTTCATCATCTAAACTTAATGCTTTGATTGTGTTTGAACCTTGATCAATAGTAATAATATTATCAGCAAATGATAAATTAAATGATTGAAATATTTGTTCAATTTCATGCCAAATATTGATTCCAGTTTTTGTGGCATCAAAATGTTTACATCTTAATAAAGTATGTTTTAATTCATCAATATCATTAACAAGAAATATTGTAAAATCTAAATAAGTTCTCTTCATTAAATCATCAGTCCACAGATCTGCAGCAGCAGCTATACGATGTTGTTTCATTGGTTCCTCTAATAAAGAACGTATTTTATTTGTATATAATTCAAATTTTAATGTTTCTTCACGAATAGTCTTTCTTCCATAAAATATATCATGAATATCTATTAAACCGAAATTGGCTCCAATCTCAATATCAGTTTGAATCAATTGTACAGTTCCATCATTTTCTAATGCATTGAACTAGTGAGAGTCAGTCACTACAAACTTTAACTCTGCATCTTTAAGCTTCAATTTATATTCTTCTGGTAATACATTTTTATTCAAAGCAAATTTTGACTGAATGATAGATGCGATTGTTGGAACACTTTTTCCTTGTTTGTCAGCTAAAATTGATTTTGATTTTGATTTATATTGTGCCAAGTGATCATGTATGCCATTCAATCCATAATTTTTTCGTTTACCATGACTATTTTTTTGAATATGTTCTGTAAGCCATATAACAATAATTGCAAGCAGCCCCATCTTCCAGTACATCAATAATACCATTTTTATCTTTATTCCCAACTAATGATACACCATTTTCCCAATTTTCATTGTTAGCTTTTCCATTTTTCACTAATTCAAAATATTTAGATTTTAATCTACTTTGAATTTTTTGTCCTGTAATATTGTCGAAATCTAAATTCATGATTTTGATAACGATCAAGACGTTATTTTATTTTATTCCATAATATTGAACTTATTAAACACACCCAGTATGAATAAATGTCTATCCAATCAATTAAAAACGTTGTGTCATCTTTTATAGCTCATTATGTGTATGTATGTGTCGGCATGTGAACAATGGAACATTGCATTAATATCAAAGAAAAACGATCAAAGAAAATAAGTGATAAATATATAACGATGTCCTCATTGTTATGACATTTTTAGCTGTTAATGAAAAGATTCTTATTTAAAAAAACTAATAGAAATGTTGAATGTGCATTTGAAACTCAAATGATTACTATTTGTTACTTTAAAACACGTACTGAATAGACACACACATGCTGTATTACGAATGAAAAATTTATTCTTACGCATAAATTTCTCAGGCCGGCAAAAACCGGCCGAACCGGACCGAACCGGTTCCAACTCTGGTATAGGCTACTAGAATAAGCTCATGAAAATCAATAATGCTAGTTACGATATTAAAAACCTCTGAAAATGCATCTTTATTAATATACAGCGACCACTCATATACAAATGATCAGAAAATTAAGACAAAAATTCTTTGAAGATGTGAATACTGTAGAAAATATGCCTGTCATCGACGATTTCTTACAAAAGTAAACTATCAATTTATTAAAAGAGCAGATGTACATGAAAATCGTATTGCTAATGTATGATATAAAGCAACTTGTAAATATTATGAATAATTAAGACAACAATCAAAACAAAATTAAGCGAATCCATATAATACTTTAGCGCAAACAAATATCAGCGATGAGGTGTAATTATATTTAATTACAAAGTAGTAATAATTTAAAACAAAATATTTGTCATTAGTGTCAAGAAAATACTACTGAACCAACACCAGTCAACATAAAATCGCCTGTTATTCCGCGAAAATATCCTCGCACAACTGATATCACCAACTTTTTTTATCAAAAATATACTGATCCAGGTTCAACTCGTTTCTTACTCTTGTTTTACCGACGAACAACAAAGCATTATGGAAAAGGAGTGAGGTGATGGGTGCTATTGCTAATCTCATGATCAGTCACATCAATACTCTACGATTAAGTGTCCGCGCCGAACTGTCCATCTTCCGTCTATTCATCTTAGATTCTCTCTTTATTGACCGATGTGTGTTTTAAGATATACCACGTAAATGTGTCAGGCAGCTTATATTTTATTGAGTCTATTTATTACATGTATATTCAGCTAGGTCAAATTGGTAGAACTACTCTGTAAGGTTGTAAGAATTTTTCTCATCAATGTAACTTTTCTCGATTTGATATTAGCCATTGATACATAGTTGTAGCTTGATTTTTATGTCTTCTTTAACTAAGTACGATCTAAAAGATCTGTATTCATATCTTGCGATTATTGTCGGATCTTTTTTGAATACCAGCTACCATTTTTTGAATAACTCTCAATCGTTTATAGCTATCTAAGTTGGGTTTTCATCATTAGATAAAACGGTGTTAGAGATATCTATCTGTATAGTGCTCATTAAGTTCGAAGAAGGTTTTTAAGAATATTTGAATGCGAACATTTTGTTTTTCGTTGTCCATTTCTACAGTTGTTTGTAGCAACCTAGGCTCATATTAAACTGAAATGCAGCTCAAAGAGAGCTTTATTATACGTAAAATTTCTAGATTTCATAACGCTTCTCTTGAAGCATAACTCCTAGATGAAGATGAAAAACTTGAACAACTACACAGAAAATGCCACACTTTTCAAGCTACATTTAAGCGTTATTAGAGCATATATTGTTATGAAAAGTTGTAGAAATGAATAACAAAGAAAATGCTTGCGTACAAATATCCTTGAAAATCTTCTTTGAACTTGATGAATGTTGCATAGATAGATGCTCCCAATATTGTTCTATCTGATGGCAAAAACCCGACTTCAATAGCTATAAACCATCGGAAGTCATTCAAAAATGGTGGTTGGCATTTTAAAAGAATTTCGACAATAGTATTGGAACATGTCCAAAGACTAATCAGCCATAAAAGAGGTCGAATCTGGACATAACATAATTTACGTCATTTCTTTAAAGATACAACAACGCAAATATCGAACCAAATCTGCAACGCAAAAGAAAATTCGTTTTTCTGTTTTTGTATGCATTTTTTGTCCATTTTAAATCTCTCGTCTTCTTCTCTCTTGAATTTTGCTCTTCTCTCACGGCTTTCACTGTATTTCGTTACTTGTCTGTTTTCTTTGCTCTTTCTTTCTCTCTTCCTTATTTTTTCTGGGTTGCATGTGTATCAGTGCTGCCACCTTTTCAAGTCCAAGCAGCAGAAAAAAAATTATAAAAAGCAGAAAATGACAGAAATTCCACCATCAAATAGCAGAAAAAAAGCAGAAAAGATATTTCTTCAAGGGGGTAAGTGCTGGCACCCAGCACCGAAAAGTGCTGGACAGGTGCTGAGGTGCTGAGCAGGTGCTGAGGTACTGAGTAGGTGCTCAGGTGCTGGAAAAGTGCTGAGTAGGTGCTCAGGTGTTGAGTAGGTGCTGAGTAGGTGCTCAGGTGCTGAGTAGGTGCTGGGCGGGTGCTGAAGTGCTGAGATGCTAATTGATTTTTTTAGGATACTACATAAACTAAACCACTACATTGTGATTGATTAAGAGCGTTCTCTATCAGATTCATTATTGTACTTCAATACTAGCGAACTCTTTAAGTATTCAATCAGAAATGTACCCATTTTACAAAACTGTCTAATTCTAATTCGATTTTCTNGGGGGATCAGGAAAATGCTAATTTTTTTTCGCAAACTGCGAGTGCAAATTGTTTTTGATAAAACTCCATCAGTTGGGTCCAACATCATCTCCCATGACTTTCATCTGGATCCCATGCTTGGAAGTCGAGATTCAGCATACTGAAAAATCCTGGGTACGCTCCTGTTTCATACACATAGTCTAAACTCAAAAGTGAATTCACACTTGGAGATATTCCTTCATAAATCACTTTCCTTGCGTTTATTTTTAGAAAATTGACTAAAAGTTATTGAAAAAATATCCATCTGTTTATTTTTTCTTAGAAATAGTTTTAGAAGTATTATTTTAAAGTACTTACGACCAAAGTTTAATTGGTTCTTCTTCAAAATCTTCATCATCATGATCATTGCTAGACATTAAATAACAATCTTTAACAAATGAAATTCTATAAAAACAAAAAGTTTATTATTACTTTTCTAAAACTGTTGCATTCGATGTTGATGATGCTGAACTTCGTCCATCAATTAAAACAGATGAATGTAAAAGATTAGGCGATGATGGAGCGTGACTGGTCCTTTTCGGACGACTTTTTCTATGAACACTTGATAAACGTAAATGTCGAAGTTTTTCTGCTGTTCTTTCTACCAACAATAATAAAAGCAAATTTTTTTTATTTTCGTTTTTTTAAAAATAAATATTATTTAAACATTTCATACCACTAAATGTTTGATGATTTGTTGAAAATGATTTATTTCCTGTTGGTGATGAACATGTATCAGTAACATGTAAATAAATATTCCATGTTGCTACACATGCTGAACCAGGTGAACTTGCATAAACACGCCATGCTGCTTGAATTAATGTTGCTGCAGCTGGAATTTGTCGAGAGAAATGTTTTTGACGTTGTTTTTGTTGAACTTTTAAAGCAAAACCAGAGCCAAGTATGCCCTAAAATACGATAAATAATTCGTTTCAACTTTTTCTTTTGAAATACTTACAGCCGGTAAAGCAAAAAATGATATCGCAAATATAGCAAAACAAGAAGCAATTATCTTTCCAACCCTTAAATATTCATTAAGAATAAATAATATAATACATAAATATTATTTAAGGTGTCACCACAATTACAAAAATTGAGCAGAAAATTTTTCTTTTGCGTTTTTATGTCATGAGTGTATAGAGATTATCGAGTTAATTAGAAAAGTGTTGCTTTTGACATCTTGAAAGGAAATCTTTTTTTTATAAAATGACATTGAAATAAAGACAAAGAAAAGTCTATAAAAAATAAAATACACCAATGCATATATTCTTCGTAGCTTCAATATTTACTAGAATAGATCTTTTTTTTTTTTTTTACTCTTTTCATATGATATCTTGAACCTGGGAATATGACTTTGTAGAACAATTGACGACACACCAAATACTGTACAAGAAATCAAGTCTTTCTCAAATTTTAATGTACTGAGAGTTCATATATTGGCTATAATCCTTGAGAAATATATACATATATATAGATATCAGGGCTGCCAGATTGAAAAGTTGTAAATCAAAATTTTTTTCATACTATTTTGGAAAAAATTCGAAAGGTATTTTTTTGACGTTTAAATGCATATATCACCGTTTTCTTCTATCATCATTTTGTGTGAAAGCTGTTACTGATATAGTTTTTTTCTCTTCTTTAATCTCATTTATATTAACATTCGAACCCTGAAATTCATCATTCATGACTGAATCTAATTCAGTTTAACAAGTGAGAATTATCATATGGGAAAGAAGCCTTCTGAAACTTATAGGTTATTCAAATGGCTTTTTCTCACTATGCAAAATGTCTCGTTCAGTTCGGAAAGGCTTTAGATTCATAAGAGCGTGTACTTTTAGTGAATTTAAAACACTGTGATATTTAACTATTACAATAGAACACCGATGAAACATTAATTGCCGATAAAAATTTAATTAGAACTTATAATAAAACTCAAAAAAGCTCGATTCTAGAAAAATATTACATTTCGGAAACCTTCGGGAAAAACAACTTAAAATTTGGAAGAATTTCGAACGTCGGAAAGATTTCGGAAGATCTGGCAATCCTGATTTATATATAGTACTCATACACATTATGATCACTAACATGAATTTGTGCAAATTTTGTTTCTAAACTCAATTCGATACAATTGAGGTGCTCTTCAATTTTCTATAATCAATAGTTTTCATCGTTGCTTTAAAAATGTGAGTACTAATGTGAAACTTTCTTAATAATAGTACGCTATTCAGCTCTATATGTTTCACACATAACATGTTTTAGAACGGCAGGAACTCATTGTCAACTTCCAAAATTCTTTTTCAGAATAGCCTATAAATCTTTTGAAACTGGAAAAAAATGTTTCGACTTCCAAATATCTGAAGAGAAGTACAGGTATAGGATTTTACGAAGAAGGTCTACTGTTTTTGTTATTTCTTTTTCAAATCTTGATTTATGAAACTCAAGAAAAATCTATAAATATCTCATGTTCACTTCGAACACAAATTTTTCAATATCCTCTTACTTTCCTCAAGGGATCTGGAGGCTAAGAATTTTTTTTTCTATTTCTAAATGAAATATTTAAATCAGTTCATCAAGAATGGTGTGCTGATCATTAGTGCATAAAAATTTTTAATAGAGTTACTCAAAGTTGTTGGAATTGCGTCAATCTATAGACCTATTCATATAGGAAAATTGGCTATTCTTGTTACACAATTTTGAAAGTTGACAATGAGTCTCTGCTGTTTCAATCGATGTTATCCGTGAAACATACAGAGTTTGATAGTATGCTATTTTTATGAAAAAACCATTCAGTTAGGAGAAAACTTAGACCTAAGGAAAAAAAGAACTATTGTTACCGTAACAATGAAAACTATTGATTATAGAAAATTGAAAAACATCTGTAATTGTATCGAATTGAGTTTAGAAACAATATGTGCATAAGTTTATCTTGAAGATCGTAATATTTAAGAGTACATCAAAAATTGATTTCTTATATGCTATTTAATGTGCTGAAAATTGTTCTACAAAACCATATTTCTCGTTTAAGATAGTTCGTCAAATCAAGAATAATTTTTTCGGTTCTTACATCTTCTTCTTATTATTTGCAACTACTTAGACCAATGCTTTTTCTGAAGTCGAAATTTGAAGAAAAAATAGTTTTGATGTATTATTTCATACAAATTTTTCTACTGATTCCGACTATGATATTCATATTATTTGAAATTGAAGTTTTGATAGTCAAACAATATTCTTATCAAAAAGTATGAGTCGTTTTTTTTTTGAATCATATAACGACTAACATGAAAAAGCCATTCGGATAAATATTGAAACTGTGGAGACTTAATGCTTTTGGCATATTTCAATTTCTATGGGCTTTCCTGATGCTTTTTTTAAAATCTGTTTCTCCTAAGTTTCACTGAAAAGACATCGCCTGAATACGTCATAAAGAATATATTTCTAGGTAACTCAATGAGTTCTGTTCAACCGCGACAAAAAAGACGCCAAATTAATTTTCTGCTTAATTTTTGAATTTCCGGCTCCTTACTTACCAAGTTACTGGATAAACATCACCATAACTAAATATTAAAAAATAAAAAGTAAATTAATTATTCAATAGTTTTATATTACCCAATCGTAGTTATTGTTATCACACCCCACCTATATAAAAAAGAAAAGAAAATAAACTATTTAAAAACATATTAATTCTATCAATTAAACATACCATAATGCATCTGCATAAGTTTCAAAATGACTGTCATTACCTTTAACACCTCGTAATTCATCACCTTTTTCATCCTTTTCTGCAATATAAACAAGATAACTACAAAAGATTAATGCAAGAAATCCAATATATAACGTTGTAATCAATTCCTTAAAAAACAAATGTTGTAATTTAATAAGTACAAACAAAACAAAAACATAAAGATGATCATTTTACTTGTCGATGAATATATACAACGCTTCCTAATAAGCGCCATGTTCCACCATGTCGATCAACATGTAAAACACGTAGAATTTGTAAAAAGCGTACACCACGAATAGCTGATGCAGCAAAAGCTTGTCGATCAGCAGCTAAAATAATCATTAATGCTGATGAAACAACAACCAATAAATCTATTTCAAATAAATAATTCAATTTTTTTATATTATCTAAATTGTTTTTTTTTCTCTTGTCTTACCGACAAGAGCAATTGGTTTTCGTGCAAATCGAAATCGACCTGATATACCCATATATTTGCTTCGACATCCTGCTGACCATAACCTTAATACATATTCAACGCCAAAAAAAAAAACAAGAAATATCTCAATCCAATAAACATATATTGATAAATTTGTAGAAAATCTTTCGATTGTTGTTAAAACAGACAAAACAAAACCAATAAGCACCACAAGAAATCTAAATCGAAAATATGCTCGAAATAATTTTTAATTTTTTTGACAAGTTAAAACAAAATAAAAAGAAAGAGACAATGGGATATAATCAACTATCTAGTGAATTCAATATAATAAATAGAAGAATGTCAGTGAGATTAAATTTCACGGGGGAAAAATGTTTTGAAGTTCAATCGGTAAACCTCATCATTAATTTCCCTAATGAATGATCAGTTGAGTTTATTCCGACTTGAACTTTTTTATAAATCCAAACAATTAAATTTTATTATATTCTGATGTCAACCAAAGAGCTTCGCCGATCAGTTTTTTATAATATGAAACTAGGGCAATGGTCTTTCTTGAGAAAACGATTTGAATCGAATGAATTCTATAGAAACTTTGTATATATGAATACTATCAATCATCTCTTAGGTTTCTTAAAGAATAAAATTATGATTATACTTACACAGAAAAATGATAGATAAAACATTTGAAACCAACTGGTCGTTCAAGAAAATTGTATAATAATATTTGAACATTCGAATGAACAGAACGTGTATTATTTTTCGGAAAATACGGCATTGGTATATATGCTAAAGAATAATAAGTAGGAAATGTTGAATGACTTAAACGTGCTTCTCCTCGTGTTGAACGATATAAAAATGAAAGACCAACATCACGATCAGGTTTCAATGATCGAGCTCCATCATTAACTGTTTTTCTTGATGGATGATGATGAGGAGGAAAATGCATTGAAAAGAACAAGAGAAAATTCCAACGCAAAAAGAAAAAAAAAGAAAGAAATTAGAACGAAGAAGTGCTCGACTTGTTTTTTCTTTCTTGCGTTTTTTTTTCAGTCACAGATAACGATAATAATAATAATAATAATAAGATCGCAATGTAAACGTAAAGAACAAAGAAAAAATAGCAATAGGTAATTTTGAATTAAACCGACAATCGATTGCGTTAATATGAACCAGTTGATCAAATTATCTATAAATATCTAAAATATACTTTGTAGAATTAATTTTAATGAAAAATAGAATGTCTATTTTGTCATAGTATTAACGGATGAGTTTGCATGTAAAAGATATGAATTATATCAAAAGAATTATTCAACCGCATGTTTCTGACGATTAATGTCAGGTAACAATATTCTTTCTTTTTTTAATCAAAATAAAAAAATTTCTTATTTAGCTTTTCACAAAGAAAATTAATATTTTTATATTTAAATTTAAATATATAAACTTCTATCTTTTAATAATGTAAAACGCTATGAATCTCTTTGCCATTTTACGCATATAGATTCATTGTGACTTGGGACATAAATATGAACGTGAGATATAATAGTAAAAGTCTTTCTTCACACTATGTTAATCTATAAACGCACGATCAAACTGGATATCGAAAGACAAAAAAAGCTATTAGAAACAAGATGTTATGAGAAGAACAACATTGCTAAGAGAGAAAAAAAACTGACACTTTTTGTTTTCTTCAATTTGATGCTATTATCTTTTCTTCCTATTCCTTATCATACTAATAGGACTAGTCTTAATCAAAGCGTAGACTTTATTATTAAAATGACACGTGTATTAATTAAAATATTCTTCAAAATTAAAAATAATGTTCATAATATTTCCATTAATATAATGATCTTAATCATATATGATGTTAAATTCCTAAGGGTTTAGTGCAAATTTAATGCTCTACTTCTTTTTTACTTACAATTGCGGATATGTATGTTCTTTTTGTAAGACTCTCATCGAGTAAAATATGTTCGACAACTGGTTCGTTACATTTCTCATTAGTATAACGAACCCAGAAAACCCAACAAAATACAAGCATTAAATGCGAACATATTTCCGGTCTCGCACTATGCTTATGTTGCTTTCTGTAATGAGCAAAAAAAAAACGTAAGAAGAAAAATTTATAGGATTATTATCGAATGTAGACTATTTCTATTTTAAATAAATCTTTTTCTCTTCTTTCCTGACTCCTTTTTTTTTTTTGATAAAACGAAAAGTCTTACCATCATCATGCATCTAAAGACTAAGCTATTAAACCATGCATATCTATCAAAGAGCTTTTTTAACATGCATAGTTTTACTTTTTTTGATTAATATAAGCAAATAATTACATTGCATGTAACTAAAGTAACGTTTTATTTGTCATTTAATGAAATGTGTATTATTCAGTATATTTTAGAAATTATTATTTTTTTCATGTGAGATGCTTTGTACCGTATGATATGAAATACTAATGTAATTATAATAGATCAAATGTTTAACCTTACTGATTTTCTATATTTTTACTAACTCTGATTTTATATTTTGTGTTTGATACAAATTGATTATATTATTATATGAATGTATTATTTTAAGTTTATAATAGAGTTCAGTTTTTATATTATATTTGACCAATAAATTTTATGAATTTTTACTAAAAAATATATTTCTTTATAATTTTTCTACATAGAGACACAAATCTTCAACTCGCTCTATTGCATACAATTACTGAGTCATGAGAGACATATAACATCATTTGTTTGATGACATTTATAAATAAAAGAAAATGTTTTAGTAATAATAAAGAATAAGAGAAATGCACTTAAATATTCTAGTTTATATAGCATTTGATGTTCTATTAGAATAAACAATGAATTTATATTTTATTTATTCTGTATTTACATTATTGAATAGACACGTGTATTTTGTTTGTTTCTTTTTTTTGAGTCAAATGACAGTAATTCAATTTTAAGTCTATCTAAGATAGAACTAATAACAACATGAATGTCATATATAAAAAAAAAAAAAGCGAAAAAGAAAATTCTCAGTAATAATATGAGTAAGAGAATTTGTCTCTTGTCAACTTTGTTTTAGATACAAAATATAAAAGACTTTCTCACAAACAAAAAGTCATTAGATTCATTTTCTAGAGTAGCTTTTTGAAAATAACTTATTCATTAACTTTTCAATAAACTATTTAAGTTAATTTTAACTCCTACATAAGATATCAAGAGTAACATTCAATAAATGAAAAAGAAAAATTTAGTCGTAGGATCGTATTTTGTTTAACTGCAATTTACATTATATTAGAAGATGTGTGAGGATTGCTTTTTCTAGGAGATATTTTCAGTAGAACATACTGGGAAATATTCTTTTCAAGTATAATTTAACTCAATATTATTCAGCGAGCAAAGCAATGTATTATAGGGTTTTTGAGACTAATCACTTTTTTTTTGTACTCAAGTAGACAAGAATTTTTTGTAAAACTTTCTATATAGACAAGAGCATAATTTTTTTCAGCATTAAAATAGCTTTAGAAAAAAATAAATCGTCATCTAAACGTTTAAAAGATTTATATTTTAAGCGTTGGCACGCACGTAACTATTATTTTCATTGTTCTTTATTGTTTACATCTTTAGAATATCCATTTTATGAGCGTTTTTACATTTAATTAATCGTACTATCGTGTATATACTCAAAAATTCCGAGTCTAATAAGTATTCCAACAAATATCTTATTATCATGATAGAAGAACTTATTCATAGTTATGCTAATACTTATAAAAAACAAACAAACTGATTTGCACTTTTCTCGTTGACATTTTTTAATAAAAGAAAATTCAGCATATTAACGATCAAAAATAGGAAATTATGAATCAGTTAATAAGTGATATTTTCACTCTCATTTCATTTCGAAATTCAAAGTTTTTAATTATTTTCTAAATAGATAAAACTTTTTAAAAACATATATATTGCTTATACAGAAAAAAAAAATTCTTAGAATATAATAGTCAGTATTAAACAATTATTTGATGTTCAAAATTTTCTTTAGTGTAATCATACCATTTATCTTCATGCTGCTGTATGATGTGAGACTTAACCAATTAATAGATGATATGATTAATATGAAGAAATACTTCGTTTCATATGTCATTATTGATACTCGAATTTTTTTATAATAGTGACACAATGTATAACACGTGTAATTAACAATATTTTATTATATCTAATATTTTTCTAATTTTTGTGTATTTTTTAAATTCACGCGAATTAAATTATTTCATTAACATAATATAATATTGGTGCTTGACTTGCTTTTTTCTTTTCTTGTATTCATGTTTATGATAATCAGTCATAGAAGTAAAGAGAAAGAGAAAATATTCTTGAGTCTAAATGTAAACCTTTTGGTTATGCTTCCTCTTGTATTTGAATCTTTCTCAAGTAGAATGAAGAGTCCACTTGAACATGATACTTGATATTCTTTTTCATTATTTTGTTATTGGGTTAGCACAACTGCTTTTCAACTATTTTGTATTGCCCTCATTTCTTTTTAGTTTTTTTTTCTCATTAGTATCGGTGTTTTTCTTTTATCTGTATTTGACTCACAATCTATCTATGGTTTTCATTCAGTATTTCATGTGATGTGTATTTCCTGCTTTTAATGTTGCGGAACATCTTTTTTTCTTTTCAAGCATGTTTTCTGGTCCAATAAACGAGTAACTGATAGTTAGACACGTGAGTCTATTGTTACATAGAACCTATAGCTAGATCGGTAAATAGATTAGTGTATATTTAACTAACTAGATTTACCAAACGAATGTAGAAAATAAAAATATCAAAAGTAAGAATGTTGAATCATAAAAATGTAACAAATCTAGACTTCATTTCACACAGAATAGAAATCCATGGGGAGCATTTGTTCTGGAAGCTATAAGTTTGGAAGGAAGCTTGTGTTGATATCAGTCTTTCCGTTAGTTAATAGAAATATGTATATTCTTACATTTTTCATTGATTTTTGTACATGATAAACCTCTATTTTCGTTGGAAGATTCTAAACTTGGAAGTGGACTTCTATTCTTTGGAAAGGATTTTCCTTTATTTTATCTTTCAATCAAATTTAAGTTTAACAACTTAATAATTACATAAGAACATACTGACATCGATGACTTAGTACATAGTCAGACAGTCAGTACGACGTACTTAGGCAAGTTGATAAATAATTAGTTCCATAATAAAATAAGCAGATAACTAAATAATGAATGTACATTGTAGAGATAATTTATAGAAGACATTTTTTTATTTATAATAAAATGATTAGAAAGCTTTCTTGAACCTTCAACTTGTTAAAAATTGTGACGTACATATCCCGTAGGACTTCGGTACGTTTTGAACAAACGCAGTTAACGTTCTCAATCATCTGTTGATTGACAAAGAATACTTTGGACTTTCTAACCATGATATTACACTTAGAAACTAAGATAGAGTTTATCTTCAAAAATCATCATGTGCTCAACGAGAAAAACAATACAAATTCATTATTGACTAAATAAAAACAATATCCTAATGTGGACTCTAGATGACACTGGACACTCAAAGTCATTAATTTTTGTTGTTTTCCAGTAATTCAAAAATTTCTACGAATTCTTAAATCTAACAAGAACATTTATGCGATAAACATATAGATATTGTCATTTTTTCTTTTCAAATGTATAAAAAAAAAAAATGCAGATCAGTTACATATAAGGTGCACCAAGGGCAAAAAAGGAGCACTTTTTATTTTTCAAGTTTTTTTACATCATCTGATAGAGCTCGCGATGCTGATTCCGAATATGTGCTTTTTAGTTTTTTTGGAACAAATTTTGTGTGAAAAATCTTTGAAATACTAGTTGAGACAAAAAAGTAGAAAATTTTACTGTTTATGAAAGAAATTAAGATTTTATCGATTTTTCGGCACTATGGTTTTTTAAAACCAATTTATTTGGATTCAGCATCAAATTTTGATTATAACTAAGTATATTTGGTTTGATTTAATTTAATTTGATGACAGTTCAGTCGGTAGACAAAATTGACTGAGGTCCCCTAGGTCCACGCCGACCACCCAATCTTGCAAACCTATCTAGTTTTTTGTTTTAATAGATAGAATTTTTGTTTGCATATCATTCGAACCACCAGGTGACAGGGAAAAAATTTGAGTATTCCTGCTTTTCAGTTCTTCTCCAATGCTCAGAAAATAATGATTTTCGGCAGCAGTTGCAAAGTATTGAAAAATGCACTCCTGTTTTGAGGTTTTAAGCATCAAACACTCATTGGAAAACAAAATGCATATGATATTCAGAATCAGCATAAAAAACTGAATCGAATACCATAAGTTTCATCTGAAAACAGTTTTCGTAAAAATTTTTCCCGTACTCCCCCTCAGCTCTTTTTCATAATAATTTTACCTGAGGTACCCCTCGGATCGGATTTTTACGAAAACTGTTTTCAGATGAAACTTATGGTATTCGA